TTTTGCGAAGATTAACGTACTGGTAACAGTCTGCGAGCAGTAGTCGCCAGATGAGCAACTGCAATATGCGGCGTTATCTCACATCGTAACTACTAATTACTGCAGAACTACAAAAGTACGCCATGCACAGTACGAAGTTAGAATAAAATGTGAAATCACCTCGACTTAACGATAACACTTTCTATTTTATAACGTTTCGTATCAATCGGTTCCCCATCCTTGAACCACTGAAAGCTGGGAGCTGGAAATCCTTTCGCCTCACACTCGAGTCCGCCCGCAGGATGATCTAGTTTCAGTATTCGTTCTTTCGTTAAATGTCGAGAAATCCAGGCTGGCTCAATTACCTAGAAGAAATTGGTTGAACAATCGAATTACAGTGCTTTCTATGAAAAAGTTGACTAGCAGCAAGCTGCAGCGCTATGCAAATAGGGGGCGGAGCTTGGTGAGCCTAACGCACTTCTCATTGGTAGGCTATAGCACAGGTCACGTGTAGCTCGATAATCTACCAATCACGAAAGCTCTACGCCATGCATCTCTCCAATGTATTTACTACTGTAAGCTAATTCCTAACGAAAAGATAGATAGATAGTGTTAGGTTACGTTAGGTAGCAGAGATCATCATGAACCTCCCGAGACTGTTTGAACGGAGAAACAATATACCAGTGATTGTTTTTTAAAGTGTAGGTTACTGTAACACGGTGATTTTTCGCGAAGGAAAAAGGTTACTGGCCTCGAACACAAAGGGTTGAAACGATATTGCTGTCAACCGTGCACTTATGAACAGCACAATAGTAGGTCGCTCTAGATTTCGCTAGCGACTATTGACTTCTGTTTGCCCTCCATATTCAGCGGAGAAATCGAGGGACAAGGGAGCACGATTGCGTTCCTTCAAGTGGACCTGCACCTGTTTGAGCGCTACTTCTTGCTTTTCTTTATTGAAGACCAAGATTTTCTGGATCTTCGATAAATGCGTTGAGGAAGAACTCATGAACCCTTCTTAGATAATAAACAGTACATCTGTGTTTTTACCAGTAATGAGCACCGGTTGATTACCGCTTTGCTTCCTTTGTTTTGGCCTGATTTTGTTTTTACTGTATCGGGCAACATTTTCAACTGAAGCAGTCTTCAGATTCAGGTGGAATGATTTTTTGAGCAAAAAGGGAGCTGTCGAGAAAGTACCGCCTCACTTCAGGTTCCGGCTTTAGAAAAAACCGAAGCATTAAATCCGACGGGTGCAACCGAGAGCAACAAGTA